TGTCATCACCCTATTTAGGAGCCGTGGATCCATAATTTCGGTAACCAAGGGCTTCCAAGAATGGAGCTTTTCGGAGAGTTTCGAGGGAGCTTTTCCAGCACAATTCGGTACGGACACCCCCAAGAGTCCAACGCAAGGGCGGTCAGGAATTGTTCCCACGATTTGGCTTCCTTGATGGAACACTGCAGAGATCTCTGCATGTCGCAGTAATCATCATACAGCTTCTCCATCTCGGATACATCCGCATGGCTTCTGTGACGGAAGCGCGTGTATCGGCGACGGGCGCGAACACATCTCCTTTTAAGATCGTCCAACTTTCCCGTCCACAAGTACACCGCACTAGCTCGTCTCGGACGAGAACCAGAGCGGGGCATACAGAGATCACAGACATCCGTGATGTCTTACCCGTCGGCCCGCCCCAGCGTCGGCAGTCTCTATCGCAGAAGCCGCTGTCCCCATGGACGTGGCAACCATGACGGCTGCTACCATCAAGTCTTCGTTGCAACGGGCAGAGCTCAACTGAGATCCACTATGGACTCCCCCGCTAACGTAGATGCCCACATGTTCTGCAGCCGAAGGTCCAAGTGCGCCGCCCATCCCAAGACCATGTGCCCCCTTGTGTACTTTTCTTTTAATATTTGATCTATTTCCTAAAAAACTTTGGAGATAACTTCAACATATTTATAAATTTCTAATTCATTACTAGGAAAGGATAAATTTGTCATTATTTGTCATTTATCAAATTTATCATAATTGATTTTAGATTTTGGAAAGATGTAAATATGTTTTTATATTCGAGCTTGTAGATTGTCAACGTGTAGATTTAAAGAAAATAACAAATAAACTGTGTGAGTTTTATTTGTAAGTTAATGAACTCCATTAATATTAGGTTTAATATTCTATATATCGAAATTTGATAGTACAGAATTCGAGTGTTTGTTATCCTCGTTTAGATCTTGAAACCACAGTAAGATTACAAAATTATCAATTTTGGAGCAGTTTCCTTCTTACATGATATTGCTTGTTGATTTTCGTAATTAAACTTCATAAAATTTTGGTATTTTGAAGATTTTAAGAAGTTCTGAGAAGATATAATCTATTCTCAATCAAACAATACGAGTTCGCGAAATTGATGGAAATGATTGTTTCTGTTGAAGAGTAAATGCTTGTTATTGCGTAAAACGTTTAAGGAATATCATGATCTAAGTAGGAAAAGAATCGCAGCAATGGATAGAGTAAAATTTTTATAATCAATTGTGCAATTTAGGAATTTAAGAAAATCGTTTTCTAATAACCGATCAATAATTTGAATGTGGCTTATGATTATTTGCCCTGTCATTTTAGTGACTTTTTTTATGGACGTTTCTAAATTTTACTATTTCCATGAGTCTGCTTGATTTCCAGATTTCTTCATCGATGTTGAAGTATCTGTCTACCTTCGTTGGCATCTCTATTGCTTAATGGTCTAGTTTCGCAAAAAAAAAATTTTTCTTTGCCACTTGCGTACAGTGCAGTTATGTTCTATCAACATTCACTGAATTCGTAATGTGCCGAAAAGATCCCATCTCTGACATCAAATTTGTCGAATTTTGAGGAAGACATAAGTTTTTTCGTTCAAATATTTATTTCGTCTAGTGCTTCGTTGTTGGATGTATAAGGTGGAATCAGCGATTGAATGACGATTAAATGAATGCTTCTACATTTTTACGAATATTATACTTTGTATGGATAATGAGCAAAAAAAAGCGAATGACATGCCCTCGTGAATCATATTATGGATTTTGTACCATAATTAAACAATCTAATCTATTGTTATTAGGAGTCTGTTTAAGTAACTATGTGATTTACGAAGAATGAATAGCTCCTCAAACAATTGAAATAAGTTGTAAAAACGTTTAAATAAGTTTCAAAAATAAAAAGTAGAAAAATAGAAAATAAAAATACAATAATACGGGTAAAATTAAATGATAATTTAACATACAAAATGAAGATCTTTAATATAATTTTAAATCGGTAAAAAGTTGCAAAAGTGTTTTTGAGTAGACATTTTCAAGGTCACATTTTTTTATTATAGTGTATTCTATTCATTATAAGGAAAAACACATCAATAGTAGATACCAACTCAAAGTATATTATATTATATATTATACTTATAAATATATTATATATTATACTTACAAGTATATTATATATTATACTTGCAAGTATATTATATATTATACTTGCACGTATATCAGTTATTTTTTTCGCAATATCAAAGGTTTGATTAGTCTACCGTATTGTAAAATACTACACTCATGAAAAGCAAACTCCT